GTCAAGAGGGAAATATTCCTATTATGTGACGTATTCTGAGTGCTTGTTGGTCTGAGTACTCGTTGTTGCCCTCTAGCCGTCGCTTGATTTTCTTGGTTGAAAACAACGACTGCACGGAATATTTCCAATGTATTCACCGATGATGTTGGAATATAGTGTATATGCTACATTAAATATGTAATGTCTGATTCACGCAGGGAATATTCCCTAAACGTTTCAGTGAGTATACATATTCCCTGATTTAACAACCCTGTTTTATACACATTCCTTGAATAGCTATCCACAAGTACATTGTTTCAGCGGTGTCAACTGATCTTTTACGTTAACTGGGTTTGTTATGAAGAAAGAATTAGGTATAACAACACATGTTTGTGGTTGATGCCCGCTTGATATAACAATAAGCTATTATTGTAATCAAGAGAATGTTTAACAAAGACTGGCTAGGCGTGACCGGTAGAGCAGGATATGCTGACCCTTGTTCGCTAACACCTGGTGTCATACCTGATTTGCTGTGATACATTCACATAATTGTTACAACTATTTTGCCTTTTTCGCCCAGTTGAATCTAATTCGGGGGATAATCAAGAGAGACTATTCTCTGACGTTAACGTTTTATCATCATCATAATTTGAGTTTGTTCAGGACACGTTTAAAACAGTTTTTTGCAATAGCACATGCTTATTATCAGTGTAACGACAAAGGATACATGGAACCTTACTCATGCACAACGAAAAAGACCAAATAATGCCTTGAAAATATGATCTTGCAGTCATCAGCGATTACTCCTGCAGTACTAATTGTGGTTAATTAGCAAGAGTTAATTAGAGTTTTCAATTATAGCACAACCCCAGTGCTGTACATTGTACGATCGAGCCCACGTGTAGATAAGTTCTGTGTAGATATTATACATTACAGTTTGTGTGGATAACTAAAACAACATTGTTTTGTGTTATGTGAATGCATATGAATGTATAATTTGGTACGTTATACTTTAATATTCTCATCATATATTGATGTACAATCGGAATATTATGTAAAGTATGTAATCATTTCAAGTATATCTAATTTTGCGATATAACCTGTTTGAAAAAAACTACCACAAGGGACGATATTACCTTATGCACAAAACAATTATACAAGCACCTTAAAAGTCGAAATATCAGCTAACACACCACATAAACAAAATGTTGCACCGAGGTTAGATATGTATTTTCAGGAAGAAATTAATAATATATTGTATTATGCTAAACTTAAACACAGGGACACCACATGTCCTAAACACATAAACAGACGCACAAATATCAGTTATGTTTGCTTGTCATCTCCAGAAGTTTGGGCCTTGAAGTGGACTTTGTTGTCACATTATGAGTTTGTAAGAAGTCATGGAGCTCCGGGACTGACAGTTCACTCAAACTGACATCTCGGAATGGTTAAGATGTAATTTCTTTGGTTTTGTTTGACCTTTTGGCCTGACTCACTTCATTCATCGTTTCTTGACAATACACAACCTTCCTTTTGGTGATTTGGCTCTTTTCTCATTTAAGATCGCTGTGGTTCTCCATTCGTTTCCGGACATTTGCTTTTGGTTGGTGTATCTTATTTATTTTATCATTAATTTTTTCAAGGGCCTGACAAATGAATCACGAACAGAGCCATAGCGAGCAACAAAACCAGGGACGCTGGCATGGTGTCAGGATTTTATTAGAATCAAAGCTTTGGAGGTAGATAATTCAAAAGCTTATTTCTTTTCCTGTACCGAGAGTCCAATTTAGTTCTTGGCTCTATCTCTTTTCCCAAACAGAAAATGAAACTCCACAGGACCTGATACAGTGAACTATCTCGTCAACATTTCTTACTTTTTCTTTCTTTTCAACTAGACATTTACTCATGAGGCATGCCTCCACTATCAAATTCCTTTCAAGCACATCTGTTATTCTCAGTAGTTGATTCAACTCCTCCCCAGGGTAGTTTTGAACTTAGTTAGTACGTGGGGCATGGAGAGCACAATGGGAACATTTGTCTGCACATTTTGTTATCTCTACTGTACGCCTGAGTTCCCCTGTGTCCTACAAACCCAAGGGCCTAGTCACGTCGTGTCTGTCATTCTACATTCTGTATGACTGCAGAGAAGGAAACCTTATTACATACCCCTACCACTATGTGAGTCCTAGGTAGTTATCTGTGAATTTAGGACATTTCAGGTACACGAGTAGCTCTAAAACAACGTGACTTTGCCAGCTGCAACTACATGAAGCATTCCAAATTGGAGCATTTCAAATAGAATCTGTACAAGAGGTAGAATGCACAAACGAGTCTTGATACCTAAAGAATAGTACCAAAAAGGTCATATGTATATATACATAATAAGTATGTCATTTTAGGGATTATGTACATTTCACATGCGTGAATGAGACATGACATAAAGCTATCGAATGTTGAGTAGTGTTGAAATTAATACGCGAATCTGCGACATTAATATCAGCTGTTTTCATGTTAAGAAGAATTTTATGTGATTTGAAACCTCGGTCTAGCAACTCTTAAAAGAGTATCTAAGATCTTGTTTCTGTTTAGGTTCAGCAACTCTGACGACACAAACCCCGGCCTCAACAAATGCAGGTGTAACGACACTACCCACACCTGTATCTACCAACACCCGGACTGGCGGACAAGAATACCCTGAGGGTATAAGTATAGACATAGCTTCTTTGATTTGTTTAAAGCCGCTTTGAGCAGTATTTCAGTTATATCATGGCATGTCAGCTTGATGTTGGAGGAAAGCCCGATGTGATGCAAGTATATACAATATAAGGAATAACAAATATGTATTTCAAAGTTGTAATCCTAAAATATAATATACTGAACAACAAAAGTTCCTGTGACATTGAATAAGATTGAATGCAAAGTTAAGTTTTTTTACCAAATTTGAAACAAATTCGGTTTGCAAAAGATAAAAGACTCCTGTAAGTGTTCAAATGGTTTAAGTTGCCATACTGACTTCAGAAAATGCGTGATTTCATAAAAAAAAAACATGAACATGCCAAAATGTCAATTTACACATCTTCGTGTCATGGAATGGACCAGTCGCCACATAAATTCCTGTGGGATATCTGTCCATATCTGCTGGAGCATGTTTCGAAATTCCTGGAGTGTCTGTGGAACACGTGGTTGACGTCGAAGGCGCCGATCTATCTCGTTCCACATGTGCTCGATTGGTGAGAGATCAGGTGAGCGAGCCGGCCAGGGGATGACATTCACGTTGTTTTGTTGAAGAGAATCCTGAACAAGTCGAGCAATATGAGGCCGGGCGTTGTCATGTTGAAAAGTAATGCCTGGGCCATGACGACGCAAAAACCGTAGAACATCAGGGCCGATGATCTCGCTGCGGTAGCGCTGTCCATTGAGATTTCCGTCCACCACTATCAAATGGGTCCTCTGTCTTGCTGTAATCCCACCCTATACCATAACGCCGCCGCCCCCGAACCGATCTTCTTCCATGACACAATGATTGACGTAATGTTCAGCTCGACGTCGGTACACTCGAATCCGTCCCTCGCTGTGGCTGAGGTGAAAGGGGACCTCTGGCGGGTCTTCTGGCGACAAGGCATGCACATCTGAGGCGACGACGTACGGTTTGTGAGATAGTCGTTGAAGGCCAAGGATGCTTCTTGCAGTCACTGTTGCTGACTGGAATCGATTTCGTTGGTGTGTTGTTCGAATCCAGTTGTCTTGTCGATTATTGGTTACGTGTGGCCTACCACTCCGAGGGTGGCCTGTGACTGCATTCGTCTGTTGCCAACGTTGCCATAAACACCAAATGGTGTTTCTGTGGACGTTAAATTGTCGTGCAACATCACGTTGACTCGATCCTGCTTCAAGCATACCAATGGCTCACAGACACTCATTTTCGGACAGGCGTGGTATTTCATAATGTTGAATAATTGCGTAATTTTTTATTTTTTTGAGTGGTTGTTGTCAGCACGATGCTAAACAATGCATATGGAATCCCGTTAACGCACATGTTTTTATACCAATTCTTGGGTAGTGAAATGCATGGGGCTTGCATAAAAGTCAACTTTTGCATGGCATGCATGCTTTTCTGTAGCAGTTGCGTTTTTGTGACTTGATTCCATACATGTACTACATTATTGAAAACCAAACTTTACTTGTTTGAAAAATACACTAACCTATTGGTGTCACAGGAACTTTTGTTGTTGAGTATATTAAAAGTCTTACGATATATCAAATGGTTAATAACATCAGAATATATCTATTATTTGAGTTTTGGTAAAATGTCGGCATTATGGGGATAAACAGAGAATGGTCGGCTCGGAGTACATTCCATATAAAATAAAATTAAAATCACTTGACACATTTATTTTTGTTTCCATTATGACATGCTCGTTTTGAAATACTATACCGGAATTGAGTATCTGGTAGGATGTGCTTTAAGTGACTCATAGCTAAAGATTATTGAATATCCTTCTAAAGCTTTGAATCTTACCATATGACTCAGAACTCGTGACGATCTTAAGAAACAAACAATACTCTGGAGCTACATTTTCAACAGATATCGGTGGTATCTTATACATTTATCAGACACCAACGTCTTATGTACAGAGATACATGACAGGACGGGGTAAAGGAACATAAAGAAGGGTAGTGCTCAACTTTTCTTTCCAAATGTATGGCGACTCTCTGAATCGCTAACACCGATAATAACAGTGGGACGTATTCATATCCACAGCAGCACACATGATCATACTTATGTTTTCATATTAACTATTTCATACACTTCCATTCGGTAGATGTGGCCACATATGTATACTTACAGTCATATAACAACCAACTGTATCGCTGTAAAACGACATTCAGCGTGGGAATGTTCAGAATGCCCTACAGTGACACCGTCACTGTGACTTGCCGAGGAAGTGTCAGAAGCTATGATGTACAGTTGTTATCCATCTAAAACCCTACTTACAAACTGTGTATGCTTCTTCCAGGTGTGAGCTACCTACTGGCATCTTTTCAATATCAGCATTATACTGATGTAGTTGCAGTGGCAGCTGGAGAAACAGGGGGGTCCTTTCTGGTTGATTATCCACAGCTGGGATATAACGACACAAGGACTGTAACGCCACACGGGATCACTTATGCTAACATAGATCCGTCATTGTTGGTGACGGTGGGTGTGGAAAACAAGGCTTACGTAATCCATGTCTTTGGTAAGAACATGGGCGTTCACACATACATGGGAAATGGCTTCTTTTCTCCCCTCCCGATCTCTGCCCTAGGGTCAAGGTATGTAGTATCAACCTGTCTGGGAGACATGGGCCACGTGGTGTTAGTGATAGCTAACCACAACCACAAGACAGACGTGGACATCACGCTGATGCTGGAGGGGAACGTCACCTATGACAACATGACCTACAACGACGGAGACACGATTCATGTGACTCTAGATGAGTACCAGACCTTCACGATGAAGAGTGACTATGACCTGACTGGAACTGTAATCAACACAACAAACACTGTAGCTGTGTTCAGTGGGGCAATGCAAGGCGATTACTTCACGGCCGCGACGCAACTATTACCTGTACGACATCATGGGACGGAGTATGTTATGTATACAGGTGACCACTCCTATTTTAGGAACGCGACATACCAGCTACAAGTTATTAGTGACCAGAGCGACGCTGAAATTATGTTGAACATTGGATCTACATTCTCTCTGGGTGACAACCGTGTATATCGCCAATACCTCGCCTATAATGAGAGTCTGTATCTTACTGCTACAAGGCCTGTCATGGCAACCCTGTGTAGAAACAGCACAGATGTATATCGTCATGGGTTTGTTGTTGTAGTTCCAGTTACGTATTTCGTGAACAGTGCATTGATTCCTGATACAGAGTGTATAAACATACTGACTAAACAACATGTAACGGATATTGAAGTATTTACTGTTGATATGGTCCCTGTTGCACTGGACTGGGTGGACATCCCCGGCAGTGATTACAAAGCGGGAAGAAATTCTTCATACGGCAGATACATCGTCCGCTCTGCCAGCAGATTCGCTGTATATGGGTTTTCCCGCGACATTGTTAATGGAGGCTACCGTTTCTCTTCTGATCCACCAACTACAGGTGCTGATGCAGGTAAGTTGAACGACACCCTGAATTTGGGAAAGAATCTAATTTCAGTATGCACATGCCGTGTTTACAGTGTAGAGCTGTGTTATTTGTATATTTGTCCCTGTATTGAATTTGGAACCGGAAACAGTATGTCACATCTAAATTTAGAAAACCGCAGCTGGTGTTGAGAAAGGACACATTAGCAGTTTTGTCCCAGTGTCGCAAAGTAACACCCACCGCCACCACACACCGACCACCTCCCCCCGCCCCTCCCCGGACAACTTTTATTGGTACAGGCACGCCCCCAGAAGATTAAATCGGCGGACATTCATGTTATTCCCGCCCCCACCTGTATAAAGTATGCCCATATTTGTTTTTGCATCTATTGTATATTTTTGTTTCATTAGTTTTATCCCCCTCATCTTTTATACAAAAACACTATTTTTTTCTTGTAAAAGCCTCTTTGTTTACAAAAATATATGAAATACATCATTTTCGATGTTTTGTTTAAATTAATGTGCCATACATCTGTACTATTCTTTATTTTCGAAAAATATATTTGTGTGATTACATATGCAGTTTGAAATGCAGTAGAGAAACAGTCTACTATCAGAAAAAAATGATCTGAGACATGCACGTCTCCATTATGATATTTGTCAACTATTCTAATAATTTAGAAATAGGTAAGACAATTCATGTACAATTACTATACCACCAAGCTGCAGTCACTGCGAGTGTACGTGACACATAGAAGGTCTACCTCTCATTGTGAATGTTCACATGTCAATAACATTGAGAGGGCATCATGACTGAATGTGTGTGAAGTGATGAAAGAGAATGTGTGCCTTCAATAATCAATTGTCAACTTCCGTTTGTTGTATAAACTAACTCTAACGTGTATCGCCCTTTCTCTCTCTGCTTTATTTATAATTTGTACTCTCACTTTTCTTATCATTCATAAATGTTAACTATGCACATTTAAGAAATATGTCAATCGTATATCATGTTTGCCGTACAAAACCGTTTTTTTCCTATAGCATATTAACATGTGCATAGTTTAATTCAGTGAAAGACTTTTGTTGTTTCCAATAACCACTCAAATTGATTATATTGACTTTGGACATTAATACTATTCAACTTTGTTTTCTTCCCTCCACAACCATCTTGTCCTTTAGAATGTACAGGTGTTGCTGCAAAGGTAATATGATTTAGTGCACTTATAGTATATCCTTCATAAGCATAGTTTGTTGGTATCATTCCGACCGTTTACATTATTATGATAATCTGACTCGTATATTCAATAGTGTGTCTGCAATCAGACATCAAATCACATATAACAATGTGAACAGTTACATATAAAGTATAGACTTACAGTACGGTACAGTGGAACCCTTTTATACCAGGCGATGAAATACTCGTTTTAACGAGTGATTGGTTGGGAGTTATATTGGGTGGAAACGGCCATTTGTCTGCTGGTCCGAGACTAGAGATAGATTGTAAGGACTGTTGATATTATACAAACAATTAATTTGAAATGAATTGTGGACTGCTTGGATTTAGTTCGTGACATCAGTGTGATAGATCTCCATGTTAAGAATGTACTCATAATGTGATATGGATCACCTTTTGATGCTGATAGGTTGAACAAGCATGATGGTCGCATCGTATCGTATGGTTCAGAGAAGCAGAAGGGTGAATGGGTAGTCAAATAACTTTTGTTATGGGACACTTAACATGCTTAATATTTCCCAGATGTATTCATACTATATATATCTGTATATGGACAACGTATATGGACGGAGTTCGGGACTGATGGGGGCATGGCAGTAAATTGTTTGTTTAGACATCATGGGCCATGTTCAGCAGTAACTTCACATGCACTGTAGAACGACGAGGATTCAAATGTTCAATATATTAATTCAGTTATCTGTTGATCAAAGTCCCCTTCTCTTGTAGTCATTGCTATATGGTTAACATTGTGTGGTTATTTTAGTTTCTCAAAGACACATGAGCTTGAATATCGAAATTTGTGAAATGGCTTAACCTCTGGACACGGATGTACAGATGCTGTGGACTTGACGATGTGAAACCGTATCTCAAGGAAAGTGATTCTTTCCCCTTCCATGCTCATTGTTTGTAGTTTTGATCAAAGCGTACAATAATGATGCATTTCTATGTTATGTTTGTTTAATTGTTTGCTTGTATGTTCTTTAACGCCGCATGCGACCAGACAATCCAGTGATTGCAGTCAGCGAGCCTAACCACCCGTCGCCTTTTACGACAAGCATGGCTCGCTGAAGACCCATTCTATCCCGGATCTACACTTGGGGTATGTTTGTTTCTAGAGCCTACAGATGTATTAACTGCTGCCGTCAAATGGAATGAATTAACTACGGTTATAACGAAGTGACTTATTACATATAATTGGGAAGGAGGGACACAGGTGGCCCAGTCGTCTAAGTCGTTGGAATTCGCTATGCATATGTGTTCCACTGTGTGCCAGAAACCCTAACCATGGGTCTCGAATCCCCGTTCGGTCTGATTATGTACCTAAGTTTGTCAGCACCAAACCCGTGCTGATGGCAAACTTCACGTCTATCGTAGAACGATTCAAAATTGAGCTTTTACATTCAATTATCGGTTGATCAATATCCCATTTTCTAGTAGTAAAATGTTGCATATTTGACAGGTTGTTTTTATTTTAGATTATCCAAGACAAACGAGCTTGAAGATCGAAAGTTGTGAAATGGCCTCAACTTCTGGACACTGATGTACACTTGCAATGGACTTGACACGGAATGCGACCGTTTCCCCATTCATGTTGATTATTTGTTGTTTCACTCAAAGTGTATAACAATGAAGCATGTCTTTGTGTATGGCTGTTTCTGTTTGTTTGTTGTTGAACTCCGCACTGGAGTGTGCATCAGATAATCCAGTTAGTGACACCATGAACATGGATCTACGCAATTTGGTTAGATGACATGCATCAACCAAGTCAGCATGACTGACAGTCCGATCCCGTTCGTCGCGTCTCACGACACACATGGGTTTCCGTAGATCCATTCTAACCCGGATCTTCACGGGAGTATGTATGTTTGTTTCTGGAGGCTACAAATGTATTAGTTGCTGTCGTCAAATGGGATCAATCAACTTCGGTTATAAAGAACATGACAAAACATATACTCGGGTTCGGGGGCACGGGTGGCCCAGTCATCTTGCTCTGCACATATGTGTCCCTGTGTGACAGAAACGTTGGTTAAAATCCCGATTGGCCATGATTATCTTTCTTTGTTCGTCAGCACCAAACCCGTGCCATTCGTCATGGTGTCTAAGTCTAGATTAGATTATGCAAACTAATGACTTAAAATATGAATAACTATACAGTCAGGCTATCAACACAAGTAGTATCACTTGTATCTTATAGCAAGGCTACCAACACAAGCAGCATCACCTGTATCATAGAGCGTAGGAATGAACACAGACAGTATCATTAGTAGCATACAGTCAGAATATCAACACAAGCAGTATCACCTGTATCATAGAGCGTGGGAATGAACACAGACAGTATCATTAGTAGCATGCAGTCAGGCTATCAACAAAAGTAGTATCACCTGTATCATAGAGCATGGGAATGAACACAGACAGTATCATTAGTAGCATACAGTCAGGCCAACAACACAAGCAGTATCACCTCTGTCATAGAGCGTGGGAATGAACACAGACAGTATCATTAGTAGCATACAGTCAGGCTATCAACAAAAGTAGTATCACCTGTATCATAGAGCATGGGAATGAACACAGACAGTATCATTAGTAGCATACAGTCAGGCCAACAACACAAGCAGTATCACCTCTGTCATAGAGCGTGGGAATGAACACAGACAGTATCATTACTAGCATACAGTCAGGCTATCAACACAAGTAGTATCACCTGTATCATAGTGCATGGGAATGAACACAGACAGTATCATTAGTAGCATACAGTCAGGCTATCAACACAAGTAGTATCACCTGTATCTTATAGCAAGGCTACCAACACAAGCAGCATCACCTGTATCATAGAGCGTGGGAATGAACACAGACAGTACCATTAGTAGCATACAGTCAGAATATCAACACAAGCAGTATCACCTGTATCATAGAGCGTGGGAATGAACACAGACAGTATCATTAGTAGCATACAGTCAGGCTATCAACACAAGTAGTATCACCTGTATCTTATAGCAAGGCTACCAACACAAGCAGCATCACCTGTATCATAGAGCGGGGGAATGAACACAGACAATATCATTAGTAGCATACAGTCAGGCTATCAACACAAGCAGTATCACCTGTATCATAGAGCGTGGGAATGAACACAGACAGTATCATTAGTAGCATACAATCAGGCTATCAACACAAGTAGTATCACCTGTATCTTATAGCAAGGCTACCAACACAAGCAGCATCACCTGTATCATAGAGCGTGGGAATGAACACAGACAGTATCATTAGTAGCATACAGTCAGGTTATCAACACAAGTAGTATCACCTGTACCATAGAGCATAGGAATGAACGCAGAGAGTATCATTAGTAGCATAGAGTCAGGCTATCAACACAAGTAGTATCACCTCTACCATAGAGCGTGGGAATGAACACAGACAGTATCATTACTAGCATACAGTCAGGCTATCAACACAAGCAGTATCACCTGTGTCATAGAGCGTGGGAATGAACACAGACAGTATCATAAGTAGCATACAGTCAGGCTATCAACACAAGTAGTATCACCTGTATCATAGTGCATGGGAATAAACACAGACACTATCATTACTAGCATAAAGTCAGGCTATCAACACAAGTACTATCACTTGTATCTTATAGCAAGGCTACCAACACAAGCAGCATCACCTGTATCATAGAGCGTGGGAATGAACACAGACAGTATCATTAGTAGCATACAGTCAGGCTATCAACAAAAGTAGTATCACCTGTATCATAGAGCGTGGGAATGAACACAGACAGTATCATTAGTAGCATACAG